CCCGCAACGATGCCGGCAGCACCAGCCTGGGACCATGGGCAGGGCACGGGAGCAAGGAACAGGGATGTCACTGTCCCTGTGCCCATGGTGGAGGAAGAACTCACAGGGTCCTCAGCCCATCCAGGCCCCTGAACATGCCACTCCGCACTGACTCCAGCTGGTTGACAGTGAGGTGCAGCTCGCTGACAGAGGATGCCCCCTCGAACGCCCCATCCTCAATCTCCGACACCTTGTTGTTGCTGAGGTTGCTGTGGAGAGAGGAAAGCAGGCTGGGATGGGGAGCTCTGCCCCAGCCTCATCCTGAACCCTGCCTCCCCCACATCCCACTTAGCACCCCATGATGCCCAGTCCCTCAGAGGACCCTTGGGTCAGGACGTGCCCCCCGTTTCATGCCCCAGGCTGCCCTGGCATCAGTACCTCATGTGCCTGCCAGCCCCCGGGCACTCCCAATGGGGCTGTGCCTGCCCGACACTCACATTTTCTTCAGATGGGGGAGTTTCTTGAAGACACCGGTGGCCTCCAGGATGGAGATTTCATTGTTGTTCAGGCGCCTGGGGTGGACGGCAGGAAAAAGAGCTCAGGAGATGGCTGCGAAGGGCCTGGCACAGACTGAACCCTGAGCCAAACCCCAGCGCCAGCAATGATCCGGCTGCAGGAAGGAAAGCAGGGTGGGAGGGAGGAGGCTCTTACAGCTCGGTCGTGGACTGCGGAATGCGCTCCGGGATCTTGGTGAGCTTCAGGTTGGAGCACTCAACCACGCTGGATTCACAGCGGCACTTGGCGGGGCAGATGACGTCGCTGTTGCACTCACTGTTCAGCTGGTAATCCTCCGTCCCTGCACAGCGCGAGGGCAGCGTGGGCTCCCGGGGGCAGAGGCATAGGGGCTGTACCCGCCCGCCCACTGGGCTCCGTCTCTTCCGCAGCTCCCCTCATCCCAGCTGCTGCACACATATAATTCCTCCCTGCGCCCAAAGTGGCTTATCCACAGGGATATTTGTCCCAGGTACATGGGGTGCTGCACTGCCCACCACCCCCTCCCCTCCTGCAACCAAAGCCAGATCCCAGGGACACCTCTGTGCCCATCCCAGTAATGGCACGATGGGAGATGCCGCAACACATCCTGGCACCCAGCACTTCTGTTACTGCGGCACCTGGGAATTCAGCAACCAGAAATGATGGGAAATGCAGCATGGTCCTGCCGGGCCAGATCATGGGGCTCTGGCACAACCATCCCCGCAGGCAGCCTGGCCAAAAGGGCACCACGCACACACCTGCACACACATGTGTGTGGCTCCTCCTCTTACCTGGGATGAAATACTGCTCTTTGGCTGTGGGAAAAAAAGCACATCAGCACCCTGGGCACACGGACACCAGGCTGGGGCAGGGCCGCGGACAGCCGTGTGCCCGTGATGGGGATGGGACGGTTCTCACCCGAGCAACGAAACTTCTTGCTCTTGATCTGGCCGATGCGCTTGTTAGCCAGGCGCCGGGGGCTGGCACAGCGGGCGCCACTGGTCTCAATGGGGTTGGCGCGGAGAAAGTCTGCCAGCCACTTCAGGTTGCAGTCGCAGACGAAGGGGTTCTGCGCTAGGTGCCTGCACCAGGGACCGCAGGTGACCACCAGCTCCAGCCCCAGCTACCCGCCGAGATGCTTCCCCTCAGGCAACCACCCACCCAGGCATTGGAGCCAGCACAGGCACTCACAGGGTCTGGATGGCCCTCAGGGAAGTGAAGGTGCCCTTGGCCAGGCTCTGGATCTTGTTGTCATAGAGTGAGAGCAGCGAGAGGTTCTGCAGGTCCTGGAAGGCGTCTGCCCGCACACAGTTGATCTTGTTGGCATTGAGGAGCCTGGCAGGGAGGGAGGCGAGTCTGGGGACCCCTTCACTACCCCATGGGTGCTGGGAACCTCAGCTCCGCTCGCTGGTGTTCCCACAGAACATCCCTCCCAGATTACAGCAGCTGCAGGGCGAAAAGTCCCCCGAAGACGCCCTTGGGGAGGTCTGTGATCTTGTTGCCATACAGCACCCTGGGAGAGAGACGCTGGTGTGAGAGAGATGGGGGTAGCAGTGTGGGGCATGGCTCAGGGGCACAGCGTCCATTCCACCCCACCCCACCTCACACACCCTGGCATGGCACTTACAGGGAGTTCAGCGAGCGCAGCCCCTGGAAAGCGTCGGGGGCAATCTCTGAGATCTGGTTGTTGCTCAGGTCTCTGAAACCCAAAGAGAGAAGGTGGCCTGGCCCCCGCCCTCCTGCTGGGTCCAGGGGACCACCCCCAGCACCCGATACACAGAGCTGGGGGTATTCAAGACCCCATCCCAGCACTGCCATGTGGGGCATCCATGTCACAGCAAGCACCCCAGGCCCGTCAGAGTCAGGGGGCTGTGGGCTCTTGGCAGTGGCCAGCGGGGTGGAGGGTGCTGGGGTTCAGGGTGAGCTGGTAGGGGCTGCGCACTTACATCCTCCGCAGCTTCTTGTACGGGGAGAAGGCGCCTGGGGGGATGGACTTGATGCCATTGAGCTCCAGACGTCTGCAAAGGGAAGGTGGAGAGGTGAAGGCTGTAGGGCTGGCCAAGCCCCAGCACCCCACTGTCAGGGCTGGGGAACCTGCAAGACCCCCAGGCTTGCAGTAAGTTACCCCTCCAAGTGGCACTGTTCACCCCAGTGACAATTTTCAGGATTGGGGCTTTCTCCATCAGGGAGAGGGTGGCATGGGTAGGGGGCACTGTGCCGGCTGGGGGGGGAAAAAACCCCCTCCCGCCCCCTGGGGGTTGGGGGCACCTGCTGCCTCCCATGTGCTTTGTGCACTGTCCCAGCGGGGGCTTTGCACCATAATTGGATTCCCCTAAGGAGATTATTTCTCTATTTACATTTTTAATGCAGCTAAATCCAGGCCTAAATCCAGGCGGCATGGGAGAAGGGCAAGCAAGGCCTGCTGCCCCCCCGTGGGGCAGCTGAGCCGTGGGGCTTGCCACCGTGTCCCCACTGCCACAAGCCACCCAGAGCCCATCAGTGACGGTGTGAGGGCATACTCACATCTCCGTCCTGGTCTCCGGCAGGTTGGCAGGGGCG